ACATATTTATGTAAATAACTTGTTTCTTAAGGCCAAGATTTAATCTTGATATGGGAAGATAGTGACCACTCTATATCTTAAGAACCCTTTGCTTGACATACCTTATATTTATAAGTACTTTATTTTCTTTTGAGGAGTAAATGACAATTATAGATTTTGAGGTCCCAAAGTCAAAGATCAAGGGTCAAACTGGACATAAGAATATTGATCGCTCAATATCTTAAGAACCCTTTACTTGACAGAAATCACACTTGGTATAATGGCATCTCCTGATGAGTAAATGACCACTGCAGATTTTGAGGTCACAAGGTCTAAGGTCAATGAACAAACTACTTTAGGCATAAAAAGATATTTCCATTCAATATTTTCAGGACCATTTAATTTTGCGTGATAGACATTTGATTTTTTATAAAATAATACCCTTTGAAGAATAGATGCCCACTATATCTTTTAGCTCTTCTGAGCCAAAGGCTCAAAGAGCTAATGCTATGGCCATTTGTGCAGTGTGTATAAACTTTTTAGAATATGGGCCATAACTCAAGAACCCCTTGGCCAATTATTGTCAAATTTGTCACAGGGTATCCTTGGCCCAAGGGCTCCCGTTTTTACTAAAACTAGGGTTGTGACCCTTAAACAAGGGGAGATAATTAGGAAAATAGAAACAAAAGTACTGGTTGCTAAAAAATCTTCTTCTTAAGAACCACAGGCAGATTATCACCAAACTTACACAAAAAAGATGAAGATATTTTGTAGATTAAAATTTGCACAGGGAATTGCCCTAGGGCAAAGGGCGTGGTCTCAAGGTCACTTCAAAGTTGACCAAAAATTACATTTTATTAAAATGTTGATATTTTGCTTACTATAAGGACTAGGATCAACAAATCTTGTCAGTTGATGCATCTAAGGACCTCATATCATGTTGAATCAAAAGTAGGTCACAGTGACCTACTTTTTTAAATTTTGCGGCCATTCTTTTCAAAATGATTTAGAGGCATATTTTGAACAATTTAAGGCCTATGATCATCAAATTTTGTCAATTGATGTATCTTGGGTCCTCGGAGTACGTCAACTAAAAAAAAGGTCACCTTGACCCCTTTTTTTTTGAATTTTATGGCTAATCTTTTTCAAAACAATTAAGGTCATTAATTCGAATACTGAGAGGTTTAGAATCATTAAATCTTGGAAGATGATGCATCTTGGGGCCATAAAATATATTTATTAAAAAGTAGGTCACAGTGACCTACTTTTTGAACTTTCAATTTCAAAGCGTTAAAGAGGCATAATTTGGACATTTTAAGGCCAATGATCATAAAACTTTGTAAGTTGATGCATCTTGGGTCCTCGAAAAACGTCAACTGAAAAGTAGGTCACCGTGACCTACTTTTCAATTTATATGACTATAATTAAATATTTCGGGAACTAATTGGCTAAGAATCATTAAACTTTGTCAGTTGATGCATCTTGGGTCTTCGGAGTAGGTTGACTGAAAAGTAGGTCACTGTGACCTACTTTTTAAAATTTATAGCTTTAATTAGATATTTCAGGTACTAATTGGCTTAGAATCATCAAACTTTGTCAGTTGATGCATCTCGGGTCTTTGGAGTACAACAACTGAAAAGTAGGTTACCATGACCTACTTTTGAAATTTTATGGCTGTATTTAATATTTTGGGGTACTATTTGGCTTAGAATCAAAAAAATTTGTCAGTTGATGCATCTTCACCTACTTTTCAATTTTACATGACTGTAATTAAATGTTTCGGGTACTTATTGGCTTAGAATCATCAAACTTTGTCAGTTGATGCATCTTGGGTCTTTGGAGTAAATCGACTGAAAAGTAGGTCACCATGACTTACTTTTGAAAATTTATGGCTTTAATTAAATATTTCAGGTACTAATAGGTTTAGAATCATCAAATTTTGTCAGTTGATGCATCTTGGGTCTTTGGAGTACAACTGAAAAGTAGGTCACCCTGCCCTACTTTTGAAATTTTATGGCTGTATTTATATTTTCGGATACTATTTTGGCTTAGAATAATCAAAATTTGTCAGTTGTTATATCTTGGGTCCTTGGAATAGGTCAACTGAAATTTAGGTCACTGTGACCTACTTTTCAATTTATATGTCTATAATTAAATATTTCAGGTACTAATTGACTTAGAATCATCAAACTTTGTCAGTTGATGCATCTTGGTCTTTGGAGTAGGTCAACTGAAAAGTAGGTCACCATGACCTACTTTTGAAAATTTATTAAATATTTCAGGGACTAATTGGCTTTGAATCATCAAACTTAGTCAGTTGATGCATTTTGGGTCCGCAGAGTTAGTCGACTGAAAAGGAGGTCACTGTGACCTACTTTTGAACTTTATGGCTTTATTTAAATACATCTGGTACTATTTGGCTTAGAATCATCAAACTTTGTCAGTTGATGCATCTTGGGTCCTCAAAGTATGTCATCTGAAAAGTAGGTCACTGTGACCTACTTTTGAAATTTTATGGTAATAATTTTAAAAATATTTTAGGTATTAATTGGCTTAGAATCATCAAACCTTGTCGATTGTATCTTGGTCTCCTCAGAGAATGACAAGTGATAAGTAGGTCACCATGACCTACTCTCAGGCACTAATTGGCTTAGAATCATCTTGGGTTCTCAGTGTTTCATCTAAAATGTAGGTCATGATGACCTACCTTTGGAATTTCAAGGCTTTATCTAAATATACAGGATACTTAGAGGCTTCAAATAGAAGTGATAGGTTGTACAGTTTATCAGAAGAGCGATTCAAGGCCCTTAGGCCTCCTGTTTGGGGTCACAAGATCAGAAGTCAAGGTTCAAATTGAATATATTAGGAATAAAATGTCAATATCACAAAAAGCATAGTAACTTTGAAGTTGATTCCTCTTTTATATTGTCATAAGGTGGGTATATATTTTTTTATAACATACATTGATTCACTTGTATTGTGAATTAAGTTTGGGAGGAAATTGAAATCTAAATACCATTCAAGTATCGTGGTACATCATTGTATTAGTTTGATGTAATTCAACAAATGACTCATTAAAAAGGTTACTATAGGATTATTTTTCCTATATTGTGCCAAGACATGGGATATTTAATCCTAACTTCTTCATTTAGTGGGATTTTTTGTCCTGTGGGAGAATTAATCCCATTTTGCAACAACCAAGGGATTTTTTTTCCCATATGGGACAAATTATCCCATAGTATTATTTCTCCCATGGGATTTTGGTGGGATTTCAGGTGGGATGAAAAATCCCCCCATTCTCCCATGGGATTTTAAGTTTTGGGAGAAGTTTATAAGAAAACTACAACATTGTGGAAGTTAAGATTGACATGATTAGATGAGAATAAAAAATCCCACCAAAATCCAGGAAAATATTTAAATTATGTCTTTTCAAAAGGGTACCTAAAAGTCCGGACTATGTCGTGTCCGGACTTAAATGTCGCAGTGTTATTTTCATATTTAAAAAGAAAATTAAAATAATGAATCACGGAGAATATGAAGAACAAATATCACTGCACCAACTCTAAAATGTCCTTAGAGTTATTTAGTTATAATTTTACAGGGAGTCTTTTTAGAATGGGGTAGGGGATCAAAACGATTAATAAAAATAAAATTAAAAAAAAAAATGAAAGTCATTAAAAATGAAGTTATGGTTATTTTAATGAAACTTCAAAATCTGAAACATCTTACAAATCTAAGAAATAATTGAATAGGTAAATAAAATTTTTATTTTATTCTTTTTTACTGTGTCTTAAATGTCACTTCAATATTTCATTTTTGTAGTCTTTTTTTTTTATTGTATTTAAGAACTTTGTTTTTATTACTCAGTAATTGTAACCCTATCTATTCAATGGACTTTTGAGCTTGATTACTGTTCATTATCTCCATACTTTATCAATATTTTTCAGATTATCATAATATTCTTATGGATCTTGACTATTGAACAAAGTAGAAAAACAACTGTACGATTTCTCAAATCAAGCTTGAAATCTTATACTATTGCATCCCTCAGAAAATATGAAAGTCATAACATGATTGATGAATGCTATAAATCCAAACTCAACATGTTGATGCTGAGAAGCAATGTTTGAGCAAATTATCATTCCTTAATTGTACCTCAGTCAGTAAGCAATACATAAAATCAGTACCTATCATTATCCTTTAAAAAAAAACCCAGAATTCCTCAATACATGAATGAATGAGAGAATTGGAGATGCTTGTACAACAGAAGTCACTTCTTCTACTCCAAACCAGTGTATTCAACATACACTATACTGTCTTTGAACATCCATCTCTTTACCTAATACAAAAGTAAGTTCTTGATAAAGAAAACTAATAATGTTTGTATCATTTATTTTTCATAATTAGAATAAATATGAACAATATTTACAAATTTTCACAAAAGTATATTTAACATGTGTCAAGATACATTGTGTTTTACCATAAAAAAAAATGCAGGAGATATTATTGACGATGAAAAAATAATTGAATTAATAACTCTAATATCTAGGCAGATGTATTTATTTTTTATGGATTCAGCACATAAACTTTTTATTTTTCCTCAATCCAAAAATGAAATTGTTTGTTCTCGTCAATAAAATTTTATGATTTTGAAAAAAAAAAATGGAAGTTATTCACTTATTTGATGAGACCCCAGATTCAAGTTATTGAGTAAGAAAAATATGCAAAAACTAGTGATAAAAATTCTACTTATATCTTTTCATTCTTTGTACTATAACACTAAACAAAAATGTATAAGTGCATATTTACATGTGAAAATGTATGAAAAATAGGGAAAAAAAAAACATCACTATGAAAAAAAAAATTATATGAATATGAAATTTTTTTTTATAAGTTTTGTCATAAAATACAAAGAATATTGTATACCAGTAGTTAAGGAATAATCATGATGTGATCAATTGACTGGCTTGCGTGATAATTTGCATAAACGCCGAAGGCGTTTATGCATAAAATTATCACGCAAGCCAATCATTCGATCATCGTCATGAAACCAAAAAATCTGACAGTTATTCCTTATATTTACATGCCCTTGATTCTGCAAATTCACCTGCAACAAGTCCCACTTCTGTCTCTATTTGTCACGCCCCGCACGTGATTTTTTTTTTCACAACGCCTATCGATGAACCAGTAGATTTATGTAGAAATAAAATATTTTTACTTTTTGAAATTTTATCTCGGACAATGACATTGGAAATGTAAATATATAAGAATACACTTCATACAACTCTACTCAATTCTTCACATTTATTTGTACTCTAACACTAAAAAAACAATACACAATGCATATTTATACCTGAAAATGTATACAAAAGGGACAAAGATAATTTTATGAAAATCAAAAATGAAAAAAAATATTTTACAATTTTTGTTCATAAATGCAATACACAAACATAAACACTAAACAGAAAAAAAAATCAAAATGATATGCACTATTCACAACAGAATTCCCACAATATATGTACACACATGTAATTCACATAAGCATTAAATACAAATGTCTCAATAACATCATCCAAAGTTATTCTCATGCCATGAAACATTCAGAGCAGAAACAAGCATGTAAGGTCAGGTCTTTTCCAGAACTATGTAAATAATGCCTTAACTGGACAAATTGTGAGACATTTAACTGAGAGCAGACTACTTTGCCATTTGGTGAGTGTATTTCTGGGACTATCTAGTATTATAAACACTTAGATGTCATAAAATGCGCTTTGCCTTCATGATTTTAAACTGTATTCATGCTGTCAATCCTCCTCTTCCACCTCCAAGAAAAATTTTATTGTGTCAACCTTCCTGAAGGCATTTTATCCAAATCCAAAAACTGTCCCACTAAATCCTACAAAAAGAGAGAGAAAGAACAAATGCAAGAGTAGGTGACTCTAAAGGGCCTGAAATGCAAATCTCTCTCTTGCTTTATACTTCACAATAATTTTTTCCCATTTTAATGTATTATCATTTTATACCAGATACATGTATCTGTAAAAAATAATTTTAAATATTAATGAAGTCTGTAAATCAATGAGAACACAGCTAACCTGTCAATTCATTTTCTTGGGCCTATAATTCAGCACTGCTTCATCTTAGTCCCCTCTACTGTGAAAATTTAACTGTAATGCTACTCCCCCCTGGTACAACAGGGATTAATCTGCCATCAATACACTGACCCTCAAAACAGTGCAAGGGGATGAACTGAAAACCTTAAAATGATAGGCACTTTTAACATATACATGTATGTACAGTACAAATTTGAATTCTATTAATTAAGAGCCTCTCAAATAAGATAGAGTGAAGAAAGAATAAGAATAAATAATAAAAAAATTTCTTATACACTTAGTACTTTGTATCAACAATAAATACACAATCTCATTGAAGTTTGTTTCATTTACTTCACTTTCACGAATATCTAACATACCCCTAAAGTTTTCAAAATAAATATGAAAAGCCTGCAAAAAAATTTAACATTTAAAATAATTATTTCACAGAAATGAAAAGGTTAGCTACATGCATGTAGCACTTATAGATAAATGTTTTTATGTAAACAATTGCCACAAAATTAGATTTGGCACAACAATTAGAGGCCCATGGGCCACAATGCTCACCCGAGTCAATTCTTCATCATCGCCTATATATTCAAATGTAAAACTTTGATCCCCATTGTGGCCCCACCCTGTCCTTGGAGTCATGATTTGAACAAATTTGAATTTACACTGTGTAATTAAGGATTCACATGACTTTGAACTTTTCTGTCCTACGTGGTTCTCTAGCAGAACATTTTTAAATGATGTCAGCAATTTTTACTACATGTAATTCTTCTTTATGTCTCATTGATCCTTGAAAGAGGGCTTGGTCCTTCATTTGAACAAACTTTAATTCCCTTCATCCAAGGATGCTTTGTGGCATGTTTATTTGAAACTGGTCCACTGTTTCTGGAGAAGAAGTAGAAAATGTGAAAAGTTTACAGACAGACGGACGGAGAGATGGAAGCCAGAGAAAATGTGATCAGAAAAGCTTATTTGATTTTTCAGCTTAGGTGACCTAAAAACAGTTTCTGATTTCTCATGGGAAAAATGAGATGCCCGAGAAAGAAAACTTTTGCATACCTACTCAAGATCCTCTAATCAAGGAGTTTCCATGCACTCTAGGACAAATGTAGGTCCAGGGGTTTCTTAGTTCTGATGGCTACCAAAAAAACAGGATTCTCAGGAACTTGAACATGAAGAGATCATTCTGTAATTACAACTCTCATGAATGATATCTGGCAATATTAGTGGATAACAAGGAATACTTTGTAGAAACTCTAGCAAATATAAGGCTAGGAAGTATTTTCTTTGATATGGAACCCTATTCCAACCATTGCACATCCTCAACTTTTTGTATTATTGTCAGACACATTTATGGTATTTGTTGATGGTATAAAGAATGGGAAATTCCTCCTTCTAATTGTTAAAAAAACTGCTCCACCAAGAGCCAGGTATAATTTTGCATTTAAAACATTATTTTGGCAACAATCTCTACTTCTAAAATGCACTTACCTGACACATTTCAATGATGGTATCATCAAATACTCTTCCTGAATCATTTGCCCCTCCCTATGACTTAGACTTTCCAAATCCTGGCTGGTAACCTCATGTTCTCTGCTGCCCTAAGTTTAAACACTTGCTTCCTTTTTGTGCAAATACTGGTTTACCCCTGAAATAATGGTTGAAATAGTATGAGTAATTACACGTTTTGCACCTTAGACTTCATGCCCCATGGATGGCGAGGGAATACGTAACACACAATCAGTTGGATAAAAAGATATCCAGCCACAAACTATGTGAGATTCTTTTAATCACATGTTTGAAAATAGCTATTACTTGTGTGTTTTATATCTAAATCAACTTAAACTGACTTTATCACGTTCATGTAAAAACATTGTGACATCACAACTGTTTATATGAAAACAATATCATATGACTGATATCTACTGTATAAAGAAGTAAACATGTGATAAAATTGTTAAGATATAAACTGTCATTTCACAGTAAACTCTAAACTACATTTGGGGAATATTGACCTATTGATCATTTATCAAAGTACATGCACAGTTTTGTAACAAACATAGATAATTAAAAGCAAACTCATGTTTAAACACATCAAGCACTACAATATAACAAAAAATTTATTGAATAAAAGAAATTCAACTTGGAATGAATCTATTTCAGCTGTCCCTTGCAATTCATTTAAAAATGTTTTACTGTACATACATTTTAATTGATTTTAAATTGTAAGTGGTAGAAATTGCCATGAGGAGTGATGAAACCAGAGGAGAAGCAGCTTCAGAAGGCTTTGTATATCCCCATCTAACAATCACTTTGCTAGGATTCTCTAGCTGCCGGCACATAAACACTAGGGATTCTCTGTGGAGGGCAGGATGTAGTTCAGTCAGCACTTGTGTCCTATCTGCTATCTACAAATGGACTAGCATGTACATAAATACTGAAAGAATAAGAGGATAACAGGTGTAAACCTACTTTTTCTTTTTTTGGTGAAAATGATATGCTACTCTTTTTTCTTTCCTTCCAAAACCTAACATATATAACAAACATAAAGGAAGTAACATGTGAATCTGAGAAATAAGGAAATGACAATAAATAGAGGATATTCTATGTTTTGTACTTGGATATAAAATTTATTTCAAGAGAGGGACAGTATTTTTTATATATATATATATATATATATATATATATATATATATATATATCCTGAAACGTAAAAGAAACACAACAAGCAATAATGTACAAATATTTAAATTTTTTATCTAATGATTTTCAAAACTGAATACAGTAAGGTAAAACTTGTTTTAAAAACATCAGAGATTTGATGAAAATGTAAAATGATTATCTTTTAACTTTAGAATGTAACACATAACTGTTTAAACACCCCCACCCCGGTCATTCAATTACAGCGAGCAAGACTGCCATACACAACAACTGCAGCTTGATTTCTAAGATACAATAGGTTCATCAATCTTGAGATAGAGCGAAAGAAATATTCTTTGCCATTTTTAAATGCCCGTCTTTCAGATGGTAAGGTCGAATTTTCTCTAGCCTAGCGCAGTGTAGTAACCCTTGAACTTCCACTCCAAGGACTGTCATTCGTGCTAATGATACTTAAGAGTCTCCTGGGGCGTGATGTAGTGCATATTTGCATCTGCAAGTCTCCATCACCTTTATTTTGAGATTTTCCAGCTAGAGCAATGGAAAATGCGTACTTAAGTCATTTTCAGGAAGCCTTGGCATCGCTTACGGAAAAGAAAGAGAATTTTTTTTTTCGGAATATTGCTGCATTACTTATGATGAACAGATACAAACTCTTAAAACCACATATTTTTGCCAATTATTTTGTTAAACATGGCAATTATTGATTTCTGTTAAGCGGGTCAAACTTAACTTTTGGTAACAGTATGAAAATCATTCAACCGTTACCGATGTTTACAAAGTGAAGATGTCCTTACTTTTTAGATACAAAATTATATCCTATATATAATATTTCCCTCTAAAATATGATGTTGCGTTTCTTTTGCGTTTCAGTATATATATTTTCATGAGTGCAAAGCATGAGTGAAAATATGAAAAAATGCTGTCTCATAAGTGAAATAAATTCCATATCCAACTAAAAAGCACTGAATTTTCTGTTAATTATATTTTCTTTGATTTTCCCTTTGTCTTTTCGTAATGCAGATTCATATGCTTTGATAACATACATGTAGTTCAGCAGTTGAGATGGCTTAGCCATTGTGATATTTAAAATTGTAAATTTGAATTTCAACATTAATTTGGAGAAACTCTGGTAGTTTTAGTCCATGTCAGGATATTTAATTTACTCTTAATATGTTATAAAAGGCTAGGAATTATTTTTTCAACACTCTTTGTGAAGGGAAGAAATGTAATATATGTGATCTGATACATGTGTAATGTTTTTCCAGTTTCTGAGATTACCCCACAGGAAAGTTTGTATGTCTAGAGCCAAGTTATCACTGAATTTTGTTTACCCAATCCATTATTCTCACTGATTACAACAAGATTGTGTTCTGTCCCATACACAACATCCTCTATAAAGTATCCTGAAAGGGAAGCAATTTCCTGCGGTTGACTCTTGCGTCCAGCTGCCCAATAAGTCTATCAAAAGACCAAAATATCCAAAATTAAAATAAAAGTATTTGCTGATTTATATCCCCTTCATAATTACAATTAAAATTCTTGTTTTCATATCATCATTTAAGTATTTTTAACACTATATAAACACAGCATCATTATGGTCTCAAACCTTGTCCCTATGAAGTGTATTCCACAGGCCAACTTTTTAAGTACATGTCCTTGAAGAGTTTTATTTTAAGTTGTAAATGTTTTCCCACTGTTCCATCTTCCCAAAGTCACCATCACTAAATCTGTTCAATCTGATGATGCACAAAATCTTTCATTAAACCACAGGCAACCTTAATGTAAATTTCAGAAACAGTACCTATGTCATCATCCAGTACTTTCAAATATATAGATGACATGTTTTAGCTTCTCACAAGTGAAGTAGAAGTTTCACATAGAAAAATAAATAAATAAGTCATTATTATCCTAACTGCATTTAAATGGAATACTTACATAATTATCCAATTTGATAAGACTCAAGATAGTCCATAATACTCTGGTTGGAACCTTTTCCAAGGTAATCAGCTTGACTTTATCAGTCACGACTTGTACAGCACTATGCTTAAAACCACAAAAAAGCTGCAAAATCAATAAACAAGTAAAACAATCTAAAGTATGCATCATAATGTACTCAAAAATGATACAAGAGGCCCATGGGCCACAATGCTCACCTGAATCACCCTCACCTTGTTCATCATGGGAAGTTCTCAAAATATTATTCTTCCACTTTCAATATTCTTTTAAATATTTTACCTCATATTTTTTGCCCTACCCTAACCCCAAAGGGCCATGACATAACATCATCAAGATGCTTCAATGTAATTAAAAGCAACATATGCCTCTGTTGTTCTTGAGGAGATTTTTAATCATATGATAAATGAAATTGATTGCATTAATCTGAATACTTAAAATGAACAGTCCAATATCATACATTGTTTATATGGACTATAAATATGTAGTCAGACAGAAGATTTAACATACAGGTCTATATGAAAAACACAGGTACAACAAACAATACACAAAACAACAGGAAATGTGGAGACTGGTTTGACTGGTAGGACTCTGGTGTTGAAAACTAGGATGGGTGGGTGGCTATGAGGTCAGGGTGTATGGTCATAGTGAATATACATGCATTAACATATGCATTTTACTACATTCCTCCTTGTTATTTATAAAGCTTATGGCAAGTGCTGTAATTTACTTGGAGGAATGCAAACCAAAAATATGAACATCATTTTAATATAACATGGAATTTACATACAAACTATTCATATATCCAAATGAACTTGGCCAGAATTACTTCTAGAGTAGCACCTTCATTATGCAGGACAAACATGCATGAAAATGGCAAGATGTAATGTATACATCAATTAGTGAATAATGATGATCAGAATGTACAGTTGAACTTCAGTATCTGAACACTGATATCTCGAATACCATGGATATGTCGAAGTGACTTGGAAGTCCCAACCACTTATTCTTTAAGTATTTTACCCTCGATATCTCGAATCATTGGATATCTCGAAGTTTTTTCTTGGTCCCATTGAGTTCGAGATAACGAGGTTTGACTATCTTGAACAACACATCAAATGATTATGGTTTTAGCCATATGTATTCCATGATGTTTTTTTTCTTATAAATACTGATAAGTTACCTTAGTAATGCCATACACATGTATGATATATAATACAAAATGTGTATATACTAACTTAAAGCCCAAACTAAAGTAGCTTACAGCAGCCTAATGTATTGTCTTTTTCCTTAAAAAAAATACTATCATAAATAAGACTCCCAGAAAATAACAATTGACAACATACCGGTGTTTACAAAGAACATTCCGCATCAGTACCCTCACTGTGTATGATAAGTAAGCCAGATATGACAAGGAAAATATAATGTTGGTGTAACTTATAACTATGTACATGTAAATCAATCAGATTTTATACCATCACTGAGATAAATCAGCCTGGTATCTAACGGAAAGCTTATATATTATACTTTTTACATATATAAGGGATTAGTAAGCCAGATGTGAAACAAATAAAACTTATATTTATAACTATATACATGTAATAAAAACCCCACTTATACCATCATTGAGAGAAGTCAGCCAGGTATCTAACAGAGGGTGATTAGTAAGCCAGGTGCAACAGGGATGTAACTTATAACTATAAATGTGAAGAAATCTAAATTGATACCATCACTGAGAGAAGTCAGCTGGATATCTAACAAAAAGCAAACTATGCTATTTCGGCCCTAATTAAAAAATTCCTTGATACTCATGTAAATTATATGAAAAATTGTGGCAAGTTGATGTTTCACTGTACAGATAATTATGTTGATCTCTCATCAATAGGTGAAGCTTTATCTATTATGCTCATAAAAGTCATTGTATAGTTCCATTTAAATATATACATCTTTTACTATGCACCCTCATCAATCTTTCACTGTGACCCTTCCTTAAATATAAAATACATCGTACCTTGTCAGCCATCAAAATCACACTGACATTCCTGAAATTGAAAAAGAAAGTTGATTGGTAAGTTGAAGATCGATCCCGATCACATTCAAAATGTTAAAATGTTGAAATTTCATGACAAAACAGAAATTTTAAAAAATTGAGGATGGGGAAAAGAATCAGTGTGGAAGGGGATGAGAATCTTGCAATTTTTATCATGACCACAAATGAGGCAATCTGCATTAAGACTGTCACTGAGAAGGTAAGCCGAGTACCTAATGGAAATCATACTAGATTATTTATCATTAATTCACCTTTTCAATTTACTTTCTATAGGTACTTTGGGTTTTTTTTGGGAATTCTACCACTCCGGGTCTTTCCTTCAACATGTTGAATACTGGTTTCTTGGGCATTTCCTTGAACTCTATTTCTTGGAGTCTTTTTTGGCAACTTTGGTTCCTTGCCTGTTTTTTGGACACACTGCACAGATTCAAACTACAAGTAAAAGAACAAATTGATATATACATATATAGTATATATAATTTATTTAAATAACATGACTGATGAAGGCTGGTAACACGGTTGAAATATTTCAAAAAAGTGTTTTCATTTTATATATATATATATATATATATATATATAAATACACACACACAATTACATTGATCTCCCTTTCTTGTTGATGGTCAATTTGAACATGTACCTTATACATTTAGGAAAAATGTGTCGTGCACCAAAGCAATCTAATTCAAATAAGATGTATGATCTGCTAACATATCATGCCACACAAATGTTGAGTACCCAGATATGTGAAATGAGTTAACATCCAATTTTAATTAGACTAGCATCAGAGAAAAATTCTTACCTTATTCTGGATTGATCTTACATAACGAACCTTTTTTATTACAATTATTAAAATAAAAAAAATACATACTGCAAAATCAATTTAAGACCTATACAGTTTACTTACCCAAGGTTTTTTAGGTTCTCTTAGGCCAGATATTGTATTCAATCTAGGGCATACAAGTTCTGGCAGCATACAGTTTCTGTAAAAACTGAACAATTTGGGAATCATAACATTCTTCCAAAGGACTTCATCCCTACAGATCCTCTCAATGTATATTTCATAAGGATTGGTTCTTCTGACCACAAAATCTACCCAAGGAACATCACAGATATTCAACAGACCCTGACACTGAAAAAAGTATTTGTGACTCTTTTTGAGTCTGAGGCCTCCTTGAAATACCTGCAGGCAAAAATTTCCTTTCTTTGCAGCCTCCTGAAATGAGAACTGGTTATTTTGTAGGAGATTTTTCACCTCAATTAAACCATGCTCCCTTCCTTCCTTTACAAAACCATCAGGACTTGCAGCAAGGTACTTATGTTCTCTGTCTATGATGAGACCTGAAGGATGAACTGTAACAGTCAAGCCCAATTCTTCTTTCTTGCGGATGTACTCCTTTATAGTGACAGATTCTTCTCGCAATCCTCTCTTTGTAAAAGAGTTTCCACCAAAAGTTGGATAGATAACTCTTTTCACCAATGGGGCAACTGGTCTAGTAGTGCTTCTGCTCATTACATCGCCAAATACTGATGAAGTCAAACGTTTTTTTCTTTCTTCAACCCAACGTGTTGAAAATGATTGGCCTACTGTTTGTTTTTCTATTTCTTCTATGGTAGAAACTTGAACATCAATCTGCTTCTCTATGAAGTCCTCACATAGCGACTTCAATTCCTCATCACTAACATCTGGTGTTCCCTCCAAAGCCTCTAAACCATATTCTTTCTTAGCCTTCTTTGCATGTGCTTGCCGATGTGTGGTCTGCTTCCTTTTGTAGGATCTTGATTTCACATCAGGATTTGCCTTTGATTTCCTGGAGCTGCAAATGTTCAATGCTCTATGGCGATAATGGGAGGTAAAAGCAGTCCCCGGAGGAACACCTGTCAAGCGGTGCCAAACAACTGGAGACCATGCTGCTCCAAAATTCTTCCGAAGGGCTCCACCATAACACCTACAGTGCCAAGAACCACGATTACATCTATTTAAAACTTTGCCACCATCGAATTTACAACGAATAAACATCCATGATTCAGCAAGATTAGTGGTAAAGTTCCCTAGCAATCGATCACTCTTACTGGCCATCCTGTGGAGCAGAAAGCTCACATCCTTCAATATTTCTGGATCGATGCTCTCATCATCTGATGGATAACCATATCGAGCTTCTTCTAAACCATCTTCCTCCATTATGCCTTTCCATGTTGTTTCTTGACAATCTGCTATTTCCGGAACATCATCTGCAGCACTGTCATCATTCAAGGTACTATGGACAGAAGAGACTTCTGGCTTTGGCACATCTGTAAGCTTCACAGGGTCTCTTTTTTTACAGAAGTCACTGCAGTTATCATGCTTTCCAAACACATGATGAACTGAGTTTCTTATATCATGAGCAAGTTTCTTCACTGCTTCTTTTCTATTATCTTCTGAGGACCTAATACGAATGGCACACCTGACCCCTTTTGTCAGCCTTATTATCATGTTTTTTGTGAGGCGACCTTTACCTTTGAAGTGTGGTTTTTCTTCTACCAACTTCTCCAGATTAGACCGAAGGCATTTACATGCATGGTTGGCACACTCCAGCTTTGTAACATCCCGTCCCCATACTGGTACTTCTTCTTGAATTCTAGCAAAGACAGATGAATCCCCATCTCCAATGAATCGCATATACCTTACCCCATGCTCTTCCTCTGCTTTTCTAAATCCTTCAACAATGATATGGGATTCCATTGCTTGGCTACTCTCTGTCCAATTTCGGAAGCAACGGTGTTCCTTTGGCAGCATGTTTCTAGATTCTGCCATACTGCATATATAACAATGCCTGTTACGTACTCCAATGTGAAGAAGTTTCCCTGTTGCAGAACCAAAGATTACACCAACTCCACCCATTGCATTGTATGTATGTCTGTGTGATCTCTTTGACCACCCACCATCACAGACCACCGTTATAGCAGGAACACCCTGGTGAAAATCCTTCCTGGCAATGGCTAATTGTTTCTCTTCTTCACCTGCATTCCTCATGTCCTCCAGCAACAGATCCCTCCAGGAATCACCAATGGTAGTCTCCAAGGAACTAAACACCTCCGAACGGATTCCTGGTACTCCCATTGTTGATAATAATTCATTAAGTGAAGATGACCCACCACCTGTTGCCATTGAACCCCAAACAGCACGCATATTAATGTCCTGAGTTTGTGAGCCAGGGTGAACTGAACTGGTTTCAAGATCTATGTCTTCGCCACAACCTTTGCATTTGTAGCTTAAAGTGCTTGCCAAGCCATTCTTATGGTGTTCAGAGACAGTATGAGTAACTGGGGAGTTTCCTGATAAGTGCAATGCTGCTAATGAAACACATTTCACTGAATGAGAGGCAATTGATGTGATAAAAGTAGCAAGATTACTTATGCTGATAATGCGATATCCATCAGGTTTCGGTATTTCTTTAGAAACAATGGAGAGCCTCATACCATGCTTGTTTCCTTGCAGAATGCGCAGAGGGCGTGGCTTTGCCATAAGTCGTTTAACAATAATTCTTCCAGTATTTCCAGGAAAAGAGGGGAACTTTTTAAGAATTTTGTACGGAGGACATTTCTTGGGAATCATTAACCTTGTTGCTATTACCTCATTCTCCACTATATACTGCTGTCTTTCACCCTTCATTTTCCTCCTTCGATAAAGATGTGAGTTTATGCCAGTAGCCCCATTGAACTTTCTTCTTCTTGTCTTTGGTTTACCCATTGTCTCCTCAGAAATATCAAATCCAAACAACACACAACTCAGTGAACACTCAGAGAAATTTTCAAACTCACCATAATTCCATAAATGAAATGCTCCCTTCTTTACATTATCAGTAGTCCACAAATTAAACTGTCCAAGTTTCAAGACATAACCACAGTATGCAATGTGGCATACATGACATCTAAAATGCTTTGAATAAGCACAGCAGATGATTATTTGTAAACACTTGTACAAAATATCACTCAAATGCACTATTTTCATTCAAAATCCATTAAAAATCCACTGGTTACACATTCAAAACTCAAATAATAAATATGCACTCAATAAGAGGTCCAAATCCAGATGACCTTCCTTTCAGAGAGAACTTCTGACTATACAAATGTCCCTTGCATTGTTCCATAAAATCATGAAATTCTTACCTTTGACAAGACAGTGGTCCACAGTCTTTCTTGTGAGGTTCTTATGGGAGCAATATTACTGAGTGATATTGTAAAGATTTTTACACGCAAAGTTAATAACACACTTACCTTTTTAATGTGTATAGAAAATAAATATTAATTTGTGCTTAACATTTCACGTAATTCAATTTTTCTAAAATAAGTTCCTAAAAACTCTGCTGGGCCCATACTTAAAAATAGTCGATGTAAACAAAATATGATAAGGGGACGATACTCCATAAGTATAGTCAGAAAAGATTACTCGATTTATGACGATCGATGAAAGATCAAAAGAACATAGTAGTATATTAAGAAATATCGCATAATGGTGCACTGGTATGAAACAGTAATGGGAAATGTAACACCTTGTATAACAAATAAATGCACATGTTTTACTCACCGTCAAATCTCTCTTCTTCTAAACCGGAAATGGGCAAATTACATATCTAGATTCTGCTAATGCGAAAAAAAAGAGATCACAAGTAAACATAAGTTTTAAGGATTTTCGTTGAAATCATGTTATTCCAATGTATATAGAATATGATGTTCATATATCTTATGTAACTTTTGAGTTGTTAATGTATTTATCTTAAAAGAACAGATGTTTAGATTTTACGCGGCGTAATATACAAGAGGAAGAAGGCGAACCAATGGAGGACTTTTTTCCCGGTTTGCTTCAGAACCAGTTCAACATGCGTTTGTAAGTTAACCAGATGTGCGATGCTGCTTTTAAAAGTAACGCGATCCTTAAAAAAAGTGACATTTCCAGAAAATGTCAGGTTCAAAAGATTTTACAGTCAGATTTACTCAGAATTTTATGTTTTTCTAGTTGTTATGGCTGATCACGAAAACACATGGCCGTCGAGACCCCTAAGTGAGATATCTTGTCTTTTTCGGGAAAAGGGTACACTGACAATAAAAACACTAAACAAATGATTGTAGCCATAGTGTTAACGAATCGATTGCACATAATTATTATGCTATTCCATTTTGCAGCTGAGCTGCAGCTGCGCAGTTCTATTGTAATTAATTTTACTCCAATAGAAACAATACAAAGATAATTATTCTTTTATTTTGGTATTTAGCGGAGCATTATAAGTTTATTATCACTTTGTATAAGTTTTAGCTAAATGGGGAAGGTATTAAGTCCAGTCTTGGTATTTCTTAATTTAGACCTGAAAACATCCAAGATGGCTGTACATCCCCCTTAACATTGTTTAATGCTTTTAGGAAAAGGCAGATGA